ATAGACTTTTGTGACCGATTGTATAGATAATATAGTGTGGTTACCGTCGGCAACTTTCTTAAAAGATATTGAATGAATATGTAAATTAGTAGACGTAGACGGTAATATTGTATATATAATTTTCTTAAAAAATTAATAAATGAAATGCAAGTAAAAAGGCACTATATCTGGGTGTGGGAAACAATCAGGTATTTAGGCCTCTCTAATTTGTTTGTTTTTTCTTCTATACCATATACTTCCAGTAAATCACAGTTCTCTCAGTAAAGAAGTTACGCCGTTGCGATCGAACAACTTCCATTCTATTACACATATAAAGTCTTATTTCGTTTGGTACTAAACATACGTATATCAAGAGGAAAATTAGTATAAATTAGAAACAGCCACTCTTAAATCAACTTGGTGGTATTCAATAATACATTGGAAGCATAAAGTAATATCTTTTCTTTTATCGTACGTCGTTTTTATAAACTAGGATGGAACCATTATGCTCTATAAACGATGAAATGCTCTTGTTTTTTTTTCAGTTATTAATAATACTTGACTAGTTGTGGGAGAAATTATTAATTGGCAAGAGAATGTTGAATTGTTCCACGCATAGCATACCATGCCATGTTTTTCAATGATGTCGAATACATTTCATCGTTATGTAAAAAGACCGATGTTGCTTTTTTTTATATTGACTGTCGAGGATGACACTCATCTAACAATCATTTCATTAAACAGGAGTTTCATGATCAGTCTCTTCAATTCTTCCCAATCTCCATGCATTTGGATCTCCAGCTGCTGCAAAGTAACAATGCAAACAATCTTTCACTTATTTGACCCAGTAGGTGTCACGATATTTGAAATAACGATATATGTATCTGTAACACGTAAATTGTGTTTATGTACAATTATAGCAAAGTTTTCTTTCTCGACGATATAAATTTATCAAGTGTAATACACCTAAAGCGATTTGTACGAGCAAGAGAAAAACCAATAACTGGATTAAATCTTTAAAAACAGCAATGAGAAAAAGAGAGGAAATAAACGAAAATGTACACAAGATAGTATGTTGCTATCAGAATTTGTATTTTGATTTACAGAGAGTGAGCTTAAAAAAGTCTGATAGTATCAATCGAATTGAAACCTGGGAATCGTTAATATAAATCAAATATAAAACAAAATTACGTAAGCACAAGGACAACTCACCTGAATACAATAACCAGAAGAAAATAACAAATGAAGTTACCCGATGATATTTGTATAATATATGGGATATCCATTGTAGAAACATAATACATATACATCACGTACAAATTTGTGCTAGGGTAATTGCACAGCCTGTGTCACAGGGATATTACAAGGAAGACTGAACATTATTGTGTTGCACAGGATCTAAGGGAGGTGTACGTAGGTGATTGATATGATGCAAAGTGTTGTTCAGCACTTCCTGAGTCGTGTACAGCAGCGGCATTCTCTCTTCTATCCAAAGCAAAATCAAAATTGATGCACAATTATAAGAGTGTAGTAACAAATATATAAATATATGTTATTCGTGTCATTACTAATTCGCAAACACATGCAGAATTTTCCATGCAACCAACAGTTTTCAACTACACCTTCTAAACAACGATTATACTGAATTCATAGTACAGTTATCATTATGAGTGTAGGTTTATCTCATAAAGTAATATGAAGATATTTTTGTGTATTTCTAATGTATCATTCTAAAAAGATCTGATAAAGGACTGCCTAAAAAAAAATATTTTGATAATATAAAACTTGAAAGATAAATCCCACTGAACATTTGATAAATTATATTGTTTCTTGCTTACTATGTACATATATGTGATAATTTAATTTTAAAAATATCTGGGATACGTTTCATTAAAACAAACAAAACAGCTTAGTTTTCGTGCAAAGAGTGGAGCATGTGCAAATATAACTGCGCCGAAAAAGTATAGTACTGTTTATGTAACTAGAATAGAACTTAAAATATCTTAGAAGTTACAAGAGATAACAAATATAAATAGTTTATTGCACGTTGATATTCCAAAAATTTACAGAATTTTAAATTAGTTTATTTTTATTTATGTCAATCTGATTAATCAGAAAATGATTAGAAAACAAACATTAACGAGCAATAAACTATAATCACTGCAAATCATTGTAAAACAGTGAACCTTTAAGATTCAGCAAAATGCATAAGTTCCATGCCCATGCATAAGTTCCAAGTAGATAATTGAATGGGTAAGAATCTTCATAAAATTCGAAGTACATTTTATTTCATTTAAACGAAATTTAAACCTTAATGTTTGTATTTTTTACAAATATTAAAAGAACTTCGAATTTATATAATGACTCTTGCCTGCAATGAGCTTATGTACTTAAAAAAAAGTTTAAAAAACAACTAGGATTAGTTGACCTAATTTTCTGACATACAATACCAAAAACTTACCTTCGGCCTCAACCGATGTTCAAAGTTCCTCCCCCCTTCTGTATTCATACATCCAAATAACTTTCCGCATAAAACACAAGGAAAATAAAAATACTAAAAATACACTAATGTTCTGCAATACAAAAATACAAATACATAAAAAACAAACAAACGTGGAACAAGACTATTGTGAAAGAAAAGTGTGTTTAAAAATGAAAAAGCGTTTGTTCTTTAGAGAAGTTTCAAAAACGTTTAATTTTTCCAAACTTTTTCATTTCAAGCTCCATTTTACAATAATCTTGTTTCTGTTTGTTCTTTTTTTGTACGTTTGTTTTGTGTATGTACTATTGTTTTCTGTGGGAACTTATGTGAACATCTGTGTATGAAAGAAGGAGAGGAATTTCGAATACCAGTTATAGGCAGAAGATAAGCTTTTGTAAGTTAGAGAACCATGTTTAAAGAAAATCTTGTAATTGAAAAGTAGAATTATACCAGAATATATACATATACGTGTATACAAACTTATTTCATTATTATAACAGCAAATACTAAAAAATTTTTGAGATACAGACAAATTCTTTTTATAAACATGGGTACTGTCAACCGTTGTGTATGACATATGTATATAGTGTTATACATATTTAAAATAATACAAATAACTGAAAAATTGATTAGTATAATCACATCTTTAGTATGTGTCATTGTACATATATTACAATGTTATTTTTTTATTTGGTCAAGTATCAATATCAACTACCAAAACTACCCAAGACACGTAGATAATTATACAAGTAAAAAGAGAATAGAAGACTAAAATACAAATTTCTATACGAAAGTACATGTTAAAAATTTCATTTTCATAAATATAGCTATCATAACGAAATGTTTAAACAGAGGTATTAATAACAAATATGTAATGCTCCTTCTGGATTATAATCCTATGTAATAAAAATGTTGACTGATACTTACCTTGAAGTTGACGACTGATGAGAGCAGTGATACCTTGACTATCACCAGTCTTTTTCACAACGAAAAGTTTGGTGTCAGGATCGTTTTCTAAGGCTCCAATACCACTCAAACCAATTACTTGTCCATTTTGTTGTTGGTGACTACTAGCAGCCATTGTTTCACTGACCTTCAATTATAATATTTACACAAATGTATACAACTTAAAAAGACATAACATCTTGTTAAATGAATCAATACATAAACCTTGTAATGGAAATTCATATACCTGCATTAATTTTTTTACTACATCCCTTCCCAAAATATGATCAAACACTGCCTGCAGAAATTGATCACTAATTATGCTTAACTTTAACTTGTCTCTATGCCATAATAATATTCTTGATTCTACCATAGCTGTTATTGATACCTAAAGAAAAAATTTCATAAGGTATTTTAACAATATTTCTTCAACAGATAAATTAGAGAAAAATTTTACAAACCTGAAAGTAATCGTCCGTGGAGACACCAAACCATTCTGGAGAATCCAGGAACTGATGTGGGAAGACAATGTGTAATGCTCTTCCATTTTGTGATACTACTAATCTGAAATGATTTCAACGGAACATTTACATAATTCGAAAACGAATATACAATATAACAGATAGTTTTTAAACGTCTATTCTAGTTTCACTGAATCTGTGCACCATATACTTACTTTCCAGAAAGTACCAAAGATAAAGAATCAACTTTTGTCACTTTTTCTTGGGCATAAACTTCTTGATATTTCAACTGTCGTATAACCTTCATACAATTTAATACTTTTTTAAACTGTTGACGTGATACCCTTAACGGCTGGAACACTGCAATATATACCTGTATGAAGAAGAACAAAAATAATATATTAAATTTACATAGTATATCAGATTAAATAAGATATTAGTATAAAAACAATACTCTTCATGAATGTTTTGCATATTACTTCTGCCAAAATTATTATTTGTCATTCATATTGAAGTAACTTATGTGTATTAAAATAAAACCATTTTATTTGTAATATTTTTCGGTAATTTTTTGTTTAATCT